CCCCAAAACCCCAAAACCCCAAAACCCCATGATTACTTAAAGTTGTTTATTAAAGAGCTTTAAAAATAAAGTATAAAATTTATTAAAATTGAACATTTAAAAGTTGTGCTCAATTAATTACAATAAATCAAATTAATAATGATAGAGCCAACAAGTATGGAAAATTTTGATTCTACTAGAACTAAGCGACATGATTTAAAAGATTCAATAGACGATATTATAAATCTCTATGAGAAGTCTCAAGACTAAATATCTAATAGATCGGAGGCTTTAGTCCAAAGTTTTGGTAGAACGTAAGTTAAATTTTCTATTCACCAAGAATTTCATAATAATTTATAGTTAATCAAAGCTAATATTGTCACCGAAAAGCTAATCCAACAAATCTGAAGAAATAGAGTTAGATATACCTACTCCTAAGGGAAAACTAACTAAATGACAAATTGGTCGTTAGATGAAGCAATAATTGGTTTAGATGTGCTAAGATCCTTTCAACAAAGAGGATTTAAAGATAAAGGATAGTTACACGACATTTAGACTTAACATTTTTGTCCGATTTTATATCTACCACTTGATATTCTTTGTATTTCTTGGACCTTTTACTTTTTTTGTTTTAAGACTTATTGAAACTTGAGAGTTCTTAGTTAATATGTCCTTCATTGGTAGTAGTATCAGTTACTGGTTGCAAATTTCATAATGGCTAGCTTTGATGATCTCACTGACATTATTAATTTTCAGCAATGAGAATGAAGTTTTATCAAAGACTGTTCTCATGATAACTATTATTCAGATTCTTATGAGATGTATGATAATCTCTGTGAGATATGCTACTACAAATGACTCAAGTCTTTAGTCTTAAAAATAGAGAATTTTTTCATAAGAAGAAATGCTAAATGAATGGGTGAATGATGGATGGATTAGTATTAAGCCCAAATAACTAGATGCTGAGATAAAGAACTGCATGATAAGGAACGAGGTTGAAAATGTGTTTTTCAAATTCAAATTCTTTTTGAAGATGAATGAATATTACAAGGATAGATTACTTAATTTTAACTATGTCAATGAGAATCCTTACGACCCTAAGATGGATGCAAAAATATATAAAAATTTTGTAGCCTCATATTCTAAGGGTTAAGAATAGCAAACTCTCAAGCGTAGTCAAATAAGTGACGATCAAACTACTTAAAAGGATAATGCCATGAATATACATGTATCTTACCTAGAAACTCCATCCAAGGATGATCTATTTACTTATTTTCCTGGAAGATAAGTTCTCAGAGAGCAGTTTTTAGCTTTCAGAAATATAGTTCCAACCTATAAATTCTTTAAATTTTTCCCATTAGCAATATCTCATTGCATTCTACCATTGATAATTGAATTTTACTAAGACTGCATGTTGGGGGAGGAGGATTATTATAGAGAGAAGTATAGAACAGGTTAGTTCTGGACTTTTAATATCTTACTTCTCTACTTTAATATTATGACGTTAGGAACTAACCTTTACTTCATTGCTCTAGGAAGTCAAGATATGAAAAGAAGAATGGTTGCTATGCGTTCATGTGAATCACATTTAGAACCTAATAGATTTAAGATCAAAGATATTTACAAAGCATTCCCTCTAATCAATTTTTTCGATCCAAAAACTCTTTTATCTTGGATGGATTTGAGAATTATGTATCTAGATATGGGTCGTAGGTTTTTCTATAGATTTAAGACTTATGCAACAGTTTATCTGATATTTTATAGTTTTGCTGGTACAATATTTCTGGCTTGGTACTTTGTCTTATACTAAGAATATACAGCTGATTTGTCCATGATAGTTACTATAGTATCAGAGATTTTAATTACTTTCTTATTCTTGTACAAAACATTTTATTACGGTGCCTAGGTAAATGAAATTTCTAATAGTCATCTACTTAGATTGAGTGAGATTAAAAGCATAATGTAGAGATTTTTATAAGAATGGGAGGAGTGTATATCCTCAAAAAAAATAAATGATGTGCTTTTGAACAATACCTATAAAAATGCTTTTCTTTATTTCAAATATAAAACATAGGACGTAGGTCCGAAATGTGGAAAAATGGATATTAAAAGATCTCTTGAAGTTTTAGAAGCTATATAAGAAAGGCTTGAAAAAGAAATTTAATTCAACCCTATCACGATTTTGAACATTCCATTAAACATGACTATCATTAATGCAATCAGAACATCATTTTTCTCATTGATTATTGCTATGATTAATTTCAAGATTAAAGTATTTTGAAAAAGATTTAAGAAGTATAATATGTGTTATTAGCATTTATAATTATTTAATATCTGATTTTATAAAAATTTTGATACTTTCCACCTCTAGGGGTTTTGGGGTTTTGGGG